CCTTAGCTTGTTCATATAATACAATTCAATATTAACTCTCATGCCATGAGAGTTTGGTGTTGGAACATTTCCCTCTTTTTTCATTTGAATGTCAAGTGAAATAGTTGGCTGCTCTTAGGGCCATGTTGTATGAAAATACTATTGTCTTTGGACTGTAGAATCACAGTCAGCATGGTGAAAGGCCAGAGGACTTGAGACCACCACTCAGTCACTCACTCAGTGCACACATTTGCATGGTGAAATGCTGGATAGAGCTGGCCACACTAAGTTATTTTTCTTACTTTGGCTGAGTTTATGCAATTGAGTTTGAGTAAGTTGATTACTACTAATAGGATATCAGTGGATGGGACCCGTGCACATCTTTGGAGAGGGGTATACATGCCCCAGTTTGAGAAGCACTTGAACTTTTGTCACTTTCAAAGGTATAAGATTGAATTCTAACTGCACATTTCTTCCTAGTGTTAGGTAAATGAAGAATCCTTGTACTTGGTTTCTTGTATTTCTCTCTTAATATCCATTTTAATTTCATAAAAATGACCATGAATGTACCTAGTAACATTGTCCTTTTAGGACAAAGAACATTTAAGGCCCTTTTAAAGGTTAGTGCATATTTCAGAAATACCAACCTCATAAAAGTACATATTTACAGAGCTTATCATATAAATACCATAATTTTGCTATTGATTTGAGTCTTAAAAATTTTTTTTTTTTTTTCGTTAGAGCTCAATAACTTAAGTGTCATCATGTGAAATATATTGAAAATTGCAGTGCTTTCTGGGGGTGGGTAGGGCCTTCAGCCCCAAGAGGCATGGCTAGATTTCTATGTTCTGGGGTAAAAAGGAAAAGAAATTGGCCTTCTGTCAGTCCTTGTCTTTTTTAAAAAAAAAGAAGCCAGTCATTTTCTTTGAATCCCATAGTGCTAGAATCTGCCCTATATCCTGTCTACCTGTCTCTCCATTTTGGCTAAAAATATTTTCTTTCCCCCCCCCCCGAGATTAGTTTGTTCAGGTGTACTTTGTTTTATTGCAATTTGCTTTATTGTGTTTCACAGATGACTGTATTTGTTTGTTTGTTTGTTTTGTTTTTTTACAAATTGAAGGTTTGTGGCAACCCTACATTGAGCAAGTCTGTCGGTACCATTTCTTCAACAGCATGTGTTCACCTCCTGTCTCTGTCTCACATTTGGTAAATCTCATACTATTTCAGACTTTTTCATAATAATGTTGCACTTAATAGACTGTATTATAGTGTAAACATAATTTTATATATACTGGGAAACAAAAAAAAATAGTGTGACTCACTTTATTGCAGTGGTCTGGAACCAAACCTGCAGTATCTCCAAGGTATGCCTGTATTCCTAAGAAAGAGTATTTAAGAAAAACTTCTTAAGGATTAGAATTGGCTCAGTTTCAGAATTTTCTTTTTGCTGGTACCAAATGTTCAATCTCTTTCTAAGAATAATGATTTTATTAATTTTGAAAATTTAACTCATGTTCTTTTTAAGGAGTTCAAATAATGTGAAAAAATACAAAGAGTGAAGTTTAAAAAGCAGTCCAAATCCCATCTATAGAATTAATCTTTATTGACTAGGTAAACATCATTTCAGAGAGCATTCCCTTCACATATATATTAATACAAGGAAGAAAAGGTAAGATGGTGGAAGAATAGAGATAGCTAGCTCGTATTTTATATGATATTTTTAATTAAAAACATTGAATTTATAAAAAACAAACATTAAAATTTAAACATTTTTTTCACTACAAGAAATACATTATTTGTTAAAAGATCCCTCTAAGTTCAAAAAAAAGATGAAAAAATACAGATTGGAGTTAGGTTTATCTGTATTTCAATTTTAGGCAATGTCTCTTCATCCTATAAAAGATGAAGAGATGAGTATTGTCGTGCTTTCCTTTCATTTCTTCTTCCTTGACTCCTATTTTATAAACATTTACATCATGTTCTATAACCATAATTTAGAAAAATCAAAACCACTGCCATCGAGTTGATGCTGATTCATAGCGACCCTGGTAGGGTTGCCAAGGCTATACATCTTTATTGGAAGTAGATTGCCCGATCTTCCTCCTGCAGAGCAGCTGGTGGGTTTGAACTGCTGACCTTCTGGTTAGCAGCTAAATACCTTACTCACTGCACCACCACAGCTCGCTCATAACCATAATTACCATAATGTTAAATTTAGTGCCGTATATCAGTGGTTCAGTGCCTTTTGTGAACCCTTGTGAACGCTCTTTTGTTTGGGTGAATTTTTGACAGCACATAGTGTTCCTCAAGGTTACATAGGCATTTGTGCCGAGTTCTTCCGTATTTAGTGATGTCTACATTTTGCCATTATATTAGAATGACACTTTGGCCGGGTATAATATTCTTGAACATTCTTTCCTTCAAACATCTGTAATGTTGCTTCCTTGTCTTCTGACATTGGATATTGCTGTGGGAAAGTCTGAACCAGGCTGATTTTCTTTCCACCTTGTATGTAAGTTGCTTTTTATGTCTGGATCCCTGAAGTATTATTTTTGTAACCAAGAATTTTCTTTGTTTTAGTCATACAATATCAGTTGTTGTTTCTTGACACACCATGTATTCTTTCAATGTGGAGATCTAGTTCTTTTATTTCAGGGAAATTTCTTAGATTATACCCTTAAAAGCCTTTTCTGTTCCATACATTGGGTTCTCTACTAGGGGAAAGGAGTCCTGGTGGTGGAGTGATTAAAGCATTGGGCTGCTAACCAAAAAGTTGGTGTTTCTAACCCACCAGCTGCTCCATGAGAGAAAAATGAGGCAGTCTACTTCTATAAAGATTTACAACCTTAGAAACCCTGTGGGATAGTTCTACTCTGTCCTATAGAGCCACTAGGAATCAGAATTTACTTGATGGCAATGGATTTTTATGTGGCCTTCTGTTGTCTATCTGGATTGAATTCAAGGGTAGATTTTGAGCTCCTGATAAAAAAGGACTGCATGGCCTTCAGATGATCTTCCTTACAAAAGGGTCTCTTCCTCCCACTGGCCCTTTGATGGGTCCAGTAGAGCAGGCTTTTGAATTGTGCTATTAGGTGGAGACCTGAACTACTGTTCGCTGTGTGACAGGTTGAAATAGATGATATGCTGTAGCAGGCAAGTGAGCAGCTGTTATGAATGACATCATTTGGGGGAAATTAAGATGCCTAACTAGGCAGTTCTCCTGGAGGGGGCCTGCAGGAATACCTGAAGGCAAGGCCAGAAACATCTCTGCAGTCATCATCAAAAAAGAAAACATTAATCAGCTGCTTGTTAATTTGGGTTTAAATTATTAGATCCAAATTTACTACTCAGGAGTATGTTAAATCAGGCATTCCTAAGTATTGCTGGTAGAGGTGTAAACTGATAACAGACTTTTTTAAGACTCAGTGCTATTTTGTTTGTTATTTTCATTGCTGTTCACTTCTTTTTTTGTGTGTGGTAGATATATGTAAAAAAAAAATGCCATTTCAACTGTCTTCTTGTGTATGATTTAGTTCATCCTGTTGTTTAAACATCATCCTTATCCTGTCCCAGTTTTTTCCATCACCCTTAACAGAAGCTCAGTGTCTAAGCATTGAATCTTCCTGTCCCCCTCCCTCTCCCTGCCCCTGGGAACTACTGATAAACTTTGTTCCCATGTACTTGTCTACTCTACATATTTTGTGTAAGTGGTCTGGTGGTTACATTTGTGTGTCAACTTGGCTGGGCCTGGTTGAGTGGCTGGGCAGCTGGTGGTAGTTATTCCCCATGATGAGACTGGCAATCAGCTTCATGGTGGGACCTACCATAAGCAGCTGACTAGCTGCTTTAGGGATGTGATCTGCTTCCTGTATATAAGAAACAGCTTTGGGAATGGTCTCTAGATTATGGCATACTTGAACCTTGCATGTGACCATGTCATTGTTTAGCAGCCTGCCATACTCTGCCGACCTGGGGACTTTGAATGGACTTGAATTAATGGCTTGCCATGTGGTTTGGTAACATCGGGACTGTGCCATTTTATTTGTCGACCTTGGGCTTGTTAGCCTCTGCAGCCAGTAGCTGCCTGAGTGAAGAGATCCCTCTAAGTTCAGTGGGCCGGAATTAAGAGACAGAGTGGAAGCCCAAGGTTGAGGGGCTTTCACTCAGCCCCTAGAGCTTGGCACTTTGAACTCGGACTTCTAGCCTCCCGAACTGTAAGAGAATAAACTTCTGTTTGTTAAAGCCATCCCATTTGTGGTATATTCCTGTCAGAGTAGCACTGGGTAACCAGAACAAGTGGGATCATATAGTACTTGTCCTTTTATGACTGAGTGACTTCACTTGGCATAATGTTTTCTAGGTTATTGAAACAGACGTCCAAGCCTATCTTCCATGGTACTGGGTGCTGTGTGGGTTCGAACTGACAACCTTTGGGTTAGTTGTTGTGTACAATTGAGTTGATTCAGATTCATAGTGACTCCATGTAACCCGTAGGGTTTCCTAGGCTATAATCTTTACTTGAGCAGATCCCCAGTCTTTTCTTCTGTGGAATGGCTGGTGGCATGGTCCAAGTCCCCCAGGTAAAAGATGCTTTTATCAGACAAGACATTCTAAGGGCTTAGAAGTCACCTCCCAGGAACCAAGGGCAAAAGCCAGACCTCTCTTGTGGCGAGGTTAATTCTTTACTACACATAAACCTATAATGTAAAATCAACTTTCAATGTCTTATTTCAAAGGTTAAATGATGGTTTTGTTTTCTCTATCTGTATGATAAATTATGAAAAACACTGTAGTTGTTCAGCAGTTTGGTTTGTTGTTGCCATTAATTACAGTATTGTTTCTGGAGGAAAAAGTGTTTTTAACCTTGACTTTTAACAAGTTAGTCTGTATAATGGGATGAATAGTTTCAGGATGGTTTTGACTTTAAATATTTAAATTTGGATGCTTTAGACAATTTATTATGTGTTATAAACTTAGTACTGTACAATAAATTTATTTACCCTTCCTAAAATATCTTTCAGGAATTGTGCCATCTTCTGTCGTCCTGACTTCTTTCCAGGTGATGTCAAGGGTTTTTCTAATATGGGCAGTAACACATAGTGTCAAAGAGGTAAGTTTATAAAATAAAATAATAGCAGCACTAGCAAACATTAATCAGCTTTACTTTTTCACATGTGTGTATAGCTGAAGACGAAACTTGGGATCATATTAATATTACCCAGATAAAGTTCACATTCACCGTATGAATTAATAGTGGGAGACATGCCCCAAATATGCAGCATTGTGAAAGACTGATGATAAAGCCTTGCAATCTTAGTTCACATGAAGGTTTGGATGGTATAGATGTGGTCTGCAATTCAATTATATTTTTTTGGTGTATATCTTCTTTGTGTCCAGAACACTAGGGCGGTGGGGGGGGTGGCACACACTGATTTATCCCCAGAGCAGTCTGATCTTTATGGGACAAACAAATTTGTTTCCACTCAACGCATCAGGGCTAATGGAATTACCAAATGTGCTAAGTCAGTGGTCCTGGGAGATGACTAATCTGCTAGGGCCTAGCATGTTAGTTACCCTGGCAGGTCCAGGGGTAGTCATTGCAAGAACAGGGGTGAAACCCACCATTACCTTCATTGTTGGATTACGCAGGAAGCAAGGTAAGCATGGCTTACTTATGCTTACTTACTAATCTGTAATGAACAGTTTCACATTTTTTTTAACCACATCAGAGATTCTGCTTTTAGATATGACTGACATCTGTCTCTCTCTTAAGCCCACAGCACCTTGCTATAGAATCAAAGCCTCTTTTCACATTTTCAATCTCTGACAGGGATGAAGTACCCAATAAGCAAGGTTCACTACAGATTAGGAAGTAAGCACAAGTAAGCCCATGCTTACATTGCTTGCTGAGTACTCCTCCCCCTAATTACTATGAATCTTCTGCAACTGAGCTTTCATTTTCTGGTGTGTGCGTTAGTTTTCGATCCCAGTATGTTTTTGCTTTTTCACAGTCAGTCATTTGCTAATGTCACCCTGAGGTAAATAATTGTAGCCACAGGGGTATGCATTTTTCAGTTTTCTAGTCCCAGTGACCTACCACCAGAATTACTGGATTCTTTGGGGGCTCGGGAAATGTGCTTGTCCATTAGCATTATTTTGGTATTTTCTTTGTCCTCTATTCTTCTAAAATGTTGCCAAAACATTTTGTTATTTAGGATTTACTCTGACAGTTTCATTTGTTTCTCAAGTAATGAGTTTTTAAAACCTTTTTATTGACATGTAACGTACATATAGAAAAATGTACATAGCTAATGAGTTTTTTACCAAAGTTGACTAAGCTAAGTTTATTTTTGTTGTAGTTAGGTGGAATTTGTAGATCCTTAGGCTTTTTTTATTTTTTTTTAAGCTTTCTCACCTCTTAAAGTCTTTAAGTCTAAACTTTATATGCAGGAAAAATGTAAAAAAAAATGATGTATTTTTGTCTTTAGAATTATTACATTTCTTTAAAAAAAAAAAAAAAAGGTACAAGGAAAAATCCACAAATCCATCCTAATGTAGCATGTTGGCCTTTATTTTCAAATTGAATTATTTATGGAGTTAGCAAAGTTAGTTAATTTATGATGCCATGTCACCTCCTTAAGCATTCAGAAGTCCTTTTTACCAATTATTTTTAACCTATATGTCTTCCTCCCGTATTTTTGTATATATACATTATTTATTTCCTTTTGATTTTAACCAGCAACTCAAAGTTCTATCTCCAAGTAGTCTCAAGTGACCTAAAACTTTTTAATAGTAACTCATTTATATTCCTAAATAGGTAATTATGTATTTTCAATAATTAAGTCCTATGTAGTTGAAGACAAAGTATTTTGTTATCAAAGTATTTGTTATCTAATAAAGTAGCTGATAAAAAAAAGAAGAAGAAGAAGAAGACAAGTCAAAATGTATGTCCTGTGTCCTATAGGGTCCCTTTTGCTGATAAGGATCAGATAGTAATTGTCTGGGCACCTCTGCTTCTATTTCTCTCTGCTGCTTAAGTGGCCATTCCTCAGCTTATTACCACTTCTGCCAAAGCAGGTAGACAGGTAAATAAAAAATGCTTAAAATCTAAATAAAGTAATTTTACTCTCCAAATTGCTGTTAGCAACACTTGCCAGTATTTCCTGAGCAGATCATTAAGGCTGGTTGGCTAAAACAGCTATTAAATGTCTCTGTGGATTATAGGACCTGGCCAGCCCTCAATAACCACACTGCCTGGCAGATGTGTAGACTTGACATTTAACAGATGGGCTTCACAAATAGTATCCTGTTTGAGCTTTGGGATACTTTAAGATATATACTCATTACATTTGCATATTCAAAATTGTTTCTCTGCAATCCAGTGGATCCAGTTTCTGCTAACATTAACATCATTTTCTTTATAAGTTAGTACGTTAAATTTTTATTATCTTCTGTCACCTCCTTGATCTTCTTCTTTTCATATGTTGTGTTATGTACCCTATTAGTTCATGTTCTCTTTTCTCACATAAATAGGGTCACAATTCTTTTCTCCTTATTCTCCTTTGCTTTGAACAGAAGTCATCAGTGATGGTTTTGTTTATAGCAGTAGATTCCCTACCTGTCCAGCCCCAGGTCTTTGCCAGCTAAGTTGAAAACCCTGTTGGTGTGGCATTTCGGAGGCCAGTCTGCTGTCTGTCTCCTGTTGCTCAGCCCCTTCTTTAGCCAAATGCTATTTTTCCTGCTTCAGAGTTCCAAATTAGCTATAATTCAGTTTTTTCTGTACAACATGATGTGTGAATTGTCTACTAAACTTCTGTTTTCTGAAGGATTTTAAAAGTGTCTTTATTTTCCTTATATTCAACTCTGTTTACTTTAATGGTGGGAACTATATAACTAATGAATAAAGAAATTGACCTCAGAAATTCATTTTCTTAAAGCAGTGTACAACTTCTTTTCATACTACTGTACTTTCATTTGTTTCTTCGTGCATCAGTTTCCTCTCTAGACTGGATAACAATAATTCTTCATTTCCCAGCTATATGCTTAGATTTGGACTCTTGCTCCCCCTCTAGTGCTGTTCATATTTTCTCTGCTTAGCTCCTTATTTTTGGATAATTGTACGTGATGGACAAAGAGATAGGCTTTTTGTGACTACACTCTACCTTTTTCAGAGTTCAAGTATATTTACTTTTAAGAGACTCCATTTAAAAAAAAAAAAAAAAAAACCTCACTGCCATCAAGTCAATTTTGACTTATAGTGACCCCTCCTTGGGTTTCCAAGATGGTATCTCTACAGAGGTAGATTGCTCAATCTTCCTCTGAGGAATGGCTGACATAGTCAAATGCCTTACGCACTGTGCCACCAGACCTCCCAAGAGACCCTATAGGACACAGGACACACATTTTGACTTGTCTTTTTAATTCTTCCCCAAGGAAGTTAGTCACATAAATGTTATCATGTACTTTGTGGAACTAAAAGATGACCAGATGTTTTTCTTTTATCATGCAAGGATCCACTCAGCAGCTTGTCTGACACCTTTATTGGTGGGATATTAAAGAAAAATTGTGGTCTGTAGCTTTAAAAACCTCTTCTTGACCTAATATAGCCAATAAACTTCCTACCTTTTTTTTTTCAAAGAGACGATATATATGAGCAAAGAAAAGCTACTGACAGAAATGATGGGAGAGGAGCATAGGGAATATAGGAAAGAATCAGTAATTCTGACTTCTTGTTGTTGTTAGGTGCCGTTGAGTTGTCTCTACTCATAGAGACCTTATGTACAACAGAATGAAACACTGCCTAGTCCTGTGCCAGCCTCACGATCTCTGTTATACTTGAGCCCATCATTGTAGCCGCTATGTCAGTCCATCTTGTTGAGGGCCTTCCCCTTTTTCGTTGACTCTCCACTTTAGCAAGCATGATATCCTTCTCCAGAGAATGGTCTCTTCTGACAACATGGCCAGAGTAGGTGAGATGAAGACTGGCTATTCTTGCTTCCAAGGAATATTCTGGCTCCATTTCTTCCAGGACAGATTTGTTAGTTTTTTTGGCACTCCATGGTACTTTCAGTATTCTTTGCCAACACCACAACTCAAAAGCATCAACTCTTCTTCGGTCTTCCTTATTCATTGTCCAGCTCTCACATGCATATGAGGCTATTGAAAATACCATGGCTTGGGTTCGGCGCAGCTTAGTCTTCAAGGAGACATCTTTGCTCTTCAGCACTTGAGAGAGGTCTTTTGCAGCAGATTTGCCCAATGCAATACGTTGTCTGATGTCTTGACTGCTGCTTCCATTGGTGTGAATTGTGGAACCAAGTAATATGAAGTCTTTGACAACTTCAGTCTTTTCTCCATTTATCGTGATGCTGGTTATTGGCCTAGTTGTGAGGATTTTTGTTTCTTTATATTGAGGTGTAATCCATAGTGAAGACTGTAGTCTTTAATCTTCATCAGTAAGTGCTGCAAATCATCCTCACTTTCAGCAAGGAGAGTTGTGTTGTCTGCGTATTGCAGGTTGTTAATGAGCCTTCCTCCAATGCTGATGTCATGTTCTTCTTCATATAGTCCAGCTTCTCAGATTATTTGTTCAGCATATGGATTGAGTAAGTATGGTAAAAGGATACAACCTTGATACACTCCCTTCCTGATTTTAAACCATGCAGTGTTCTCTTGCTCTGTTCGAACAACAGCCTCCTGGTCTATGTACAGGTCCTCATGAGTACAATTAAGTGTTCTGGAATTCCCATTCTTCTCAATGTTATCCATAATTTGTTATGATCCACTACAAAAACGGTAAGGAGGCCACATGTTCTGATCTCCTCTGATCCCACAAGAGGAAGACAGAATCACCATCAATAAATAGCCCAAGGCCTGTTCCTGCGAGACCAGACATGCTGCCTCCCTCCAGCCCTTTCTCTAACTGCTCCTCCCAAAGCACCCATCACCTCTCTCCTAGGTTCGATAATTTGCTGCAGTGGCCACACAGAGCTCACAGATTATGGGGTTTATTAGGGAAGCACCACAGGCTACAATTCAAGTTCAGGAAAAATGCTCAGTCTGTCTCCCAGCCCACCGTCCCTCGGTCAAGAGTCTCTCACAGTCTCTTTC